CTTGGCAAAGTTAATTGAATTAAATTAAATTATATCAATCTTCCATCAATAATTTCCATCATATTTTCAACGTATTAGTGAATGAGAATGTTTTAACTAATCAATGGACGTATTAGTGAATGAGAATGTTTTAACTAATCAATGGAACAACATCAAACATGATTATCCTTTTCTCGTATTTTCTCCACCACAGAGAAAACAATACCAGCTGCTGAGAAAACTTTGCTTGTAAATTCAAATTTATCGTGGAAGGCCATAGTTACCAACAACAATGCCAAGAAAAAAATTATGGGAATTTCTGACCAGATAGAGCGCAGAGCACACAAATTATTTCATCAAAACATCAAATTGCTAATAAATTCATCAAAGAGTAGGAAGGTTGGAAGAATTTAACTTAAGAATCGAAATCCAGAGAGCCAGGTCGCCCCTAGTATCCCTAATAGTTGTTCTGAACTTATTTGTTCAATTTTCATTGCAAATGACGTCTTATGTTACAGGTAAAATCCATGTTTTCTATTGGCCATTTTCCTATAAGTGCTATCCTGACCTCATGGATTGTAGGAAAAGTCATGCCTTTCATTATTTCGTTAAAAAAAGAGAGATGTACAAATATTGGTAGGAACAATGATTGAACCTATATTTCAAACACTCATTAATAATTCATAAGTTTATTGGCAAATCATGTCAACCATAATATGTCACGTGCAGTGGCTTTAAACTTGATAAAACACTCCTAATTAGTATTCTTTATATAAAGAATACTAATAAGGCAGTATCTATTGTTGTCGTGTCCTCATTAGTATTTTTATATATAAATAAAGAATACTAATAAGGCGGTATGTCTATTGAATTTGTAGTCGTGTTTGAAGCCGTTTAATAAACTCGCAGGTCGTGTTTTATTAGGTCTAAAGCCACTTGCGCTGCGCGCTCGTGTCTTTAAACCTAATAAAACACTCCTGCTCGTTTATTAAACAGTACTTAATATCCCTAATAAAATACAACAATTTCAGTTTGCATAACATATTGTTTAAGATAAGCCAATTTCACAAACCATTATACAATCTAAGGAGTAAGATACTGTCCTCTTGACTAAGTACTTCGAGAAGAATAAGGCCAAATTTCCAGCAATGCTGGAGTATATTTGTCAACAACCATTTGTCCGAGAAACTCACCGTCCAATATCCTGTACTGCTCCTAAAGTTAGTTAAAGTTGGTCAAAAAATGGTTCAAATGGACGTTTTTAGAGTACAAAAAAATTCAAAAGCTAGTGGGTGCACTGTTGATAGACCGCCTCTATTCAAAGAGAGTGATTTTTACCATTAGTTCCCCCCCCCCCCTTTAACAATGTCAAAACGCGGAAACGTCGTTCCACAACACTGGGCCTGCTGCTTAGAAACACACAAAGATGGTGGTTATCACTACCACGTAGCGTTGAAACTCGCTGGGCCAAAAAGATGGCTCGAAGCTCTCTTGAAGCGGAATACAATATAATTCTGATGAAAATGATCACGATGGCTATCATACTGCGTATCAGTACATCAAGAAATATGACAACGAGGTTTATCACAGCACAGGCAACCCAAATTTGTATGAGGTTAGTTCCCCCAAAACAAAGTGATGACAGCAATTTTACCGAAAACGGCGAGGTGACAAGATGAGCGAGTCAACAGCGGAGAATACTGGCGAATGTTCGACACAAGGATGTGCTGGCTAGGACCGAGCCGACGAGAACTTGTTGTGGGCCCCTGCCATGATGGGCCCCTAAAATTAAAACATTGGGAAAGATAAAACAATATAGATTTTAATTTTGAAAATCAGAATTAAATATCAGATATTACAATTTATACTTCAAAAATCTAAATTTACGAAAATATTACCGAAAAATTTAACCAATTACGGTACATTAATTCGAAAGTTACTGAAAAATTGTATGTCCGGAAAATTAGCGACTGAAATGTTTCATGTTTGTTGTCCTTTTTAAGACCTCAGCACGTCCCTGGTATGACAAGTTTGAAAAGAAAAGAAAAAGCTGTTCAAGTTAGACGTAGCTCATTTTCTTGTCGACAAAGGAATCAAGTCTGAAACTGGATAATGGATAAAGGAAAGGGGAAAAAATACGAATTGTCTTAACGACCTTATCCACCAAACATGAAAGATGAAGGGGCCCCTTCGACTCTAGAACGAGAAGAAAGCGTCACGTATAGACTTGATACGAAAGGCAGGAAATAATAATAAAGTTCATCCGATAATATTTGCTGCTACCGTGAGAGAGCTGATATTGTTAGGGAGAGGGACGTACAGAAACATAATAGTTGGCCCAACGAACTGTGGCAATACCTTCATACTCAAGCCATTACAGAGTTGATATTCACTGCATATCTTCAAACCCAGCAGCGGACAAGTACGCCTGGGTTGGCGTCGACAATGTAGAGATTATTTTTTTGAATGAGTTTCGATAGAGCAAGGAGCTAATCGAATGGAAAAGCTTTTTGCTGCTATCGGAAGGAGATCTAGTAAAACTTCCAACACCTAAGAGTCATTTTAGCACAGATGTACGCATTGAAAAGGACACTCCTGCATTTACTACTTCCAAGAGTATCATCAAATACAGAGGCAGTTACGACTCACAATATGAAAGCGAAGATGCGATGATGGCATCGAGATGTACTTCATGATGGAAAACGTTCACATTTTTCCATAGCATCCCGGGAAACGAGCAGAAGGTTCTAGCACCCTTCTCAAAATGCTTTGCTGAGCTTGTTCTCGTGGGTGAAATAAGCTAACCTATACGTATTAACACAGACGGCTATATTTTTGTGCTGAAATCCTTTCCCGTGGAAATAAAGATATACCAGTTCTCCAAAATTCGTCGCCTACTTGTTGCTTTCTAATCGTCCTGCAAAACTTGGCCCTGGATTTTTAATCTTTGGCGTGAAGAAGCCCTATTTTCGTGCCTGCAAATGCCAGTAACCCTGTGATTACGGACAGTTCCACTGGTCACATGGTTTACACCACTGTCTAGCTTAATATACTTGGATGTAAAGGAACCTTCTTTCTCTCGGAGGCCTTTATAACGAGAGTACACTATATTTCGCTTGTCCTAAAAAGATAACTTTGTCGGCCTCCTTTTATTTTGCTGTCTTTTAGAGGTTTATTGGCGTGTTTATATAAAGCAGCTTTAAATTAGTACTGAGGAAACAGTTCAAAAGACTTAACCCACGAGTTTTTGACAGTAGGTATGCAGCTCCAATTTGGGCGGAATGTTCCAAAGCGACTTTTTGGCGAGATTTTTTAATCATCTGAAATTTAAAAATGCTACAATTTTAAGCCACTGTAATATATTGTTCAAATATCGCAAACTGTAGACTTTAAAAACGATCGAATCCAAAAATTACCTTAATTCAATACAACACAAACCGCATGAAAGAATATCATATGCAAAATGGACATTTTTCGCTCCCTCCCTCCTCTATATACCCCCCTCGTCATCAGAGAAACGTTTACCGTAGTCTCCGCCAAAACTCTACCTTTTAGAATTCTAATAATTCTAATAATTTTCAGCTCACAAACTTATTAATTTAATCGCTTTCTCTTTTCAGACAATCCTCTAAAAAAATAGTAGACTTTCTTTATTTTACCATTATTTCCCCCCTCCCCTTTTCACAATGTTGGTGATCAGGCCATATCCCTTGCAAATCGACATTAGCTGAAACAACATTGTTCTGGGGAGGGGGGATGTTAAGGGCAATTAGCAGGTTGGAATCAAGAAAACTGTCCTATTTTTCTTACGTATTATGAAATTTGGTCAGACGTTTTGAAAAGTCTACAAATATTTCTTCCAAGATTGTAGGTAGTCTAGATTAGGATACGAGAAATATCAAGATCAAATCGATCTCACACAAAGCTTGCTGACGCCAGCAAGTTTCCCATCTAGTCTATGTCTATTAATAATCCATGGTAAAACATAAATGTTTTACAAAGTGTGTTTTTGTGCAAAAATCAGATTTTAATTTTTCCTTTATCAATATTGAGTACTTGGCAAATTTATCTGTGGAGGCTATTTTACAAACAAAGTTCCAAGGCTTAACTACTCGGTTGAAGAACGAAGCCTGAAAAGTTGATGTTTTACAGTACAAAGGTTTCAAAACAAGGGATGGATTTTGAGAGCGAGAACAACTATGTTGCACAAAAGATACAAACTGTTAAATATACTAAAACTCTCTGTACCAGTGTTGGTAGTACCAATGTGATTAATGCTGTGCTGAGTGGTTATATTACTACCTTAAAAAATAAGCAGAAACTCGACGTTTCGAACGAAGGCCCTTCGTCAAGAGTTAGTAGCCAAGGGCCTTCGCTCGAAACGTCGAGTTTCTGCTTATTTTTTAAACTGTTAAATGTTCAAGTCAATACAACTGATCGAAGATAGATTTTTTAACCAAAACAAGGTCTCTAAGTTCTCGATCATAAACTAGTGGTAGTTGGTTTAGGGTTGTCAGCCTGTCTTCATAAGGCATCTCTCCGACATTCGTTTTCAGGTCCAGCGGGTTGCACGCCTCTGAATCCTTTCTAATACCATCTGTAGCTTAGCATTAGCTGGTGACCATACCTCCGTTGCATAGCACAGTTGCGACTTAACAAATGCATGATATAGGGTTTTGCCTTATTTTGCTGTGTTCTAAAAGGGAACGTTAAACATTTCCTTTTCAAGAGACCAAGCGTCTTGTTAGCTTTGTTGACAACTGAAAATATATGAGCATCCCAGGATAAGCCGAGGTCTTTTTCTTGTTCAACACGTTGTAGATTTGCGTCGCCCAAATGATAATTCGTTGTTACAGGTGATTTTTTACGTGTGATTGTGAGAACTTTACATTTTAAAGCGTTAAATTTCATGTTTGAATTCTGACTCCAATCATTTAAACTAGAAATGTCACGCTGCGGGCTTTCGCAGTCAGTTATGAATGAAATCGATCTGTATAACTTGGTATCATCTGCGAAGAGAGCGGTTTTTGACTGATTCGGAATAAATTCAGGTAGGTCATTGATAAAAATGACAAATAGCAGAGGACCAACGATGCTTCCTTGGGGTACGCCAGAAGTAACTAGTAGGTACTGTGAAGCTACGCCGTCAATCACAACCCTTTGATATCGGTTCCTAAGATAATCAGTAAACCAATCAAGCAGATGACCTGTTACACTGTACCATTTAAGTTTCTCAATGAGAATGACGTGATCCATACAATCAAAAGCCTTAGCGAAATCCAGGTAAAGAATATCCGTTTGGATGTTTTTCGATCAAGCGATTCTCCAATGGAGTGCAGTACTGATAGAAGCTGTGTGACACACGAACGATTGAGCATGAAGCCGTGCTGAAGTAAAGTAATTAGGTGTGATACGTGGGCATAGAATCGATCGCAGACACAGCGTTCCATCACTTTGGGCAATAAAGAGATGGGTATGTAATTTTTAGCACGTTCCTTTACATCTTTCTTATACACAGGCGTGACGTCTGAATTCTTCCATTCCGCGGGAAGACGCCATAAACCTCCGAGCTCTGGGCTTATATTCGTTCATAAGCATTTTTTTATGCGCTTATTCAGGGGGAGGCTTATATACGGATGATATTTGATGTTAGTAATAATATTTATTGTACCTGAAAATTATCTACCAGGTAAACGAAAAGAAATATAAATATACAGTATAAAACACATAATAAAACAATATTATATCACTGTAATGTAATTATAAAATTTCCAGGTTTGTCCACTTATGCTGAAAATTGAGGTGTTTGCGCACATATTCAGCTAGCATCTCACCTAAAGATGGTGACGTAATTTAATCTACGTCACTGGTAGAAATACTACTATCTCTACATTCGACTTCATTCAGTCTTTGTATTACAATCGTATTATCTCGAGGCCATTTTAAGTTGGGATCAAGAAAACATTCAATTTCACCATCCAGACTTGCTCTATATCCTTCTCTATGATATGCACTGAACATTTTGGGTGTAAAAAATTGATTACTTGTAAAATGAAACGGAAATGTGCCGAAGCAGGCGGCGGAACATGTCCGACATGATAAGGTATGACAGCATTCACAACAACAAAATGTCAGTCCGTCTGTTTCATCTGCAGTAAGGTCAGGTCCAGACCCCCACAACTCAGGATCAAGATTTTGTTCAGTATCAGTGATATATTCTTCCCAAGTCGAGAGGTACTGATGAGGAGTTCCTTTGAATGGATGACGTGGTGATAAAATAAGAATTTCACCTTCCCCTGTTTTGACGTCATTTATATTCCCATAAGGCCTTGCAAAATATTCAACTCTAAAACTGTAGGTGCGAGGTTGTATACCGGGTACTTTATTAACGTAGTGGTCTTGTATATCTTCAATAATATCTCGACCATTGCTGCCAGAGAATGAACAACGAAGCCATTTCCTGGCGAAATTTAAAGCAATAATCAAGTCCGTTGCCATTGTTGCGTCTGAAGAACAATATCCCCCATTCACCACTAAAATCCTCTCACATCGTCTCTTGAGTAATGGTAATATTCCTAAGTTCTCCACATGTCCTCCGTCACTGAGGTTGAGAATTGATGGAGGGACTGGACCGTAGTTTATAACTCCACTGATTTCACGAATAAGACGAACTTGCTGAATGTTCAGTATACACCATCTGGAAAGAAATATGAAAACATTAAGTCCTGTTCTATTTTAATGGAAATATCATATATTGATAATTGTCATAATTTTCATTGTTGGGTACCAGTGTGGAGAGTGTCTGCATGGTGGATGCAACTGCAATTAAACTTCCAGACCAGGCGCTTATTTATATGAAACGGTTATTGGTGCACTGATCATTGTGTATGGCAAAATAAATGTAAATATAATAAAAGTATCAAGGATAAAATTTTGTTGTCATATGATAATTCAGTAACTCTCCTACAATTGCTAGAAATTCTAGACTATAGAAATTTGAATATTTAGAAATTTGAAGATACAGTACATCAGGCGCGAAAGGTTTTTGAAACTCTTCGTATGTTCACGTATGCTTCGATATAATACATTAAAGCAAGAGTATATGACGCCATTTTGGTTTAATTACTAGATTTTGCAGACCCTCTAAAAGGTGTGAGACCTTCCCTTAAGGCATGTGGGCCTGTGGAGGAGGCTGTTGCACACTCATCGGCGTGCGATGAGTTTTTAATGCAGGAGCCATGCTGAGCACGTTTCACAGCCCACTATATATTGCGATCTGTTCCAGACAAAACGGAACGTTCTAATTTGTTCTAAGTTTCAGGTATCATACAAAAAGCTTTCAAAATTGTAAGAACTATAGGCCAAGGTGTTAATAGTATTTACCCTCCCAACGAAATCTCTGACTAAAGGCCTTTACTCAAAACGTTATTTAGAATTCTCCACTCATGTTTTCTGGATGGCTAGAATCTAATTTTATAAACTTTTTATCACTGAACATTCCATACCGAGGGTCTGCCAGTCCGGAGACCGCTGGGAAAATGTTACTGAATATAACCATAATATGGAACTGAAGATGAAATAAATCAAGCTGAATTCTATTAAATTGTTTAGGGGCGATATGGCATTTAAGTAAGTGGATGTAAATAAATTTAGGAAGTTCACAAATGTTACCACTGCACACTTTCACTTTATTATTACACAAATTGATTTCTCATTGAAAACTAAAATTAGGTATGAATGACTAGAATCTAGCTGCTTTAATTAATCTAGTTAACTGCAACGCCAGTTACCTGATGATTCTGTCAACAACGCCAGAGTTCTTCTTTCCAGTTGGCGCCAAAGCCACAAGAAAAAGACACGAGACTGTAAATAATATCAGTCCTACAAGAATGTGTTTATAAATGTAGTCATAACCCATTCTCTCTGCAGCTGCTAGCAATAACACTGGCGTGACGATAAAAGTTTGCAACACGAGAGGCAATATCTGCAACAAATAAATACAATTGTTCCAATCACAAAACTTTCTTCAACAATTGATTATTCTTCATTCAATAATGACAATAAATAATGTAACTGCTATCGCGTGGCGTGCGCGCGTGTGCGTCGCGAACTTTAAATCACGTGACTGTTCTCGAGGTCTAGAAATATTTACTCAGAACAAGAAGACATTTTATATTTACGAAGACTTTAAAATGTGATTTATAGCATGATATAAAGGATGTAAGAAATCTACGGTTTGCCCGGAACCGTTGTTTACATTTTCTTTTACTTTCTATTAAAGTTACGAGTTAAAACAACGTTTTTGTGGGCATGTTATTTGCGTGAAACGACAAGAACATTTATAAATAATATAAAATAACGTCTAGTTCTTTTAATGAACTCGTTCTAACCTTTCAGGCTATTTTTGCTCTCTTGTACGGTTACCATTTTATGTCACTGCTTCTGCTATTGCTGTTTTTCTATCAGTTCTATCGCTGCTCATGTTACTTCTCGTTCCGTTGTTTATACCTTTATAGTTCAGTGGCGCCTAGCCTGCAAACAGGCTCTCAAGCTGAATTGAGAGCCTGCATCGATGACGAATGAATTTGAAAATCTGCCCCGTAACGTTCGTTTTTCCAAATATGGAATGTCTATCCTTATATGGTGTTGTTTACAACTTTCGTGCAAACTAAATTTAGACCGTGCAAACTAAATTTAGATCGTACAGTTTATACTGTTTTTCCAAATATAAGATATTCAAGCAAAAGTTCAAATGTTTTAAATACTGTTTTCTCAAATCAGATCATTTCATTCTTTGAGATAAGATGGCCAAACCAATTTGATCATTTAATGTGTTTTTATGCATAGTGCTTCAGCAGTTGACATATACAGAGCTCAGCGGAAACATATAAATTATAGCATCTGACCAATGAGAATTTCGCGTCACGATTTGAGACGCAGATATTCAAATTCATTCGTCATCGATGCAGGCTCTCAATTCAGCTTGAGAGCCTGTTCGCAGGCTAAGTGGCGTCGTCAGTATTTTATTTCGGGGGAGGCAATTTAAATTTTGGGGGAGGCAATTTAATAATTTATGAGCCATAATTCCAGGGGTCCGAATAATCCTTTTCACCCCCCGCAGAGCTACACAGCTTCCCTTAGCGTTTGGTTTTTAAAGCTAAAGATTTGTGACTACTGAGGTAGTCGGCGCCAACGTTGTCGACTCCTTTAATAGATTCTGAATGTTGAGACGAGACGAAGTCCAGACGAAGTCGAGTTAAACATGCATTGAGATTGGAGGGGAAAGAAACTAACTAATTCCCGAGGGAACAGTTTTGTAGTATATAGCGATGAAAAAAATCAATAAAATTCATACAAAACTTGTATTTCATGACACAAATTCTATAGTGTAAAGCAGTGTAAAATTTTAAAAAACTGTTAAATGGTTTCAGCCGCATATCATGTTGCCTGTTGTGTATTTTTCTTATCTTTTACATTCTTTATTTTAACACAAACTTGTAAAATCGTACCAGTTTATAAACTTGCTAGTTGTGCCGCCATTTTGTTTATTTTTGTACCTAGGTAGCCGTTCGAGGTGGCCAACAATTTTTCATTTTTTTGCCCGGTGGGTTACATTACATCATAGACAATCAAAGGAATTCCTTTGATTGTCTATGATTACATGTATCTAAAGTCACGTGACCACAAATCAGTCAATCGCGTTTGGTGTTCATCCTAGCCATATAACAAATTAAAACTTACGCAATTCGAGAGCACATAACTCACAGGCGTATTCTCACTATCGAATGACTTAGCAACCAAAGATCTCCCCATATTAATACCCAAAATAATCTGAATGTCTCGTATAGTGTCCACATTTAGTTGATAAATTCCCATGTTACTTGATAATACTGCAGCAGACGATGCCATCATATCAGAAAGTTTAAGATCTTCTGGGTGTAATCTGTCAAATAGAAATATATTAGACTGCAATTTGTCCATGCCAGTTCTTCTGTAGTATATAATTCCTATATACAACATGAGCGGTCGTAGTGTACAAACTCGAGCCGACGGCGAAAGTTTGTATAACCCATGCAACAGGGAGGCGAATGTTGTAAATGGCTTGAAGGCTTCTATAACATATTGCCTGTCTTTACCTGCCATCAAATGTGTCTGGTTTCGAATCAATTCTCTCTATGGTGTTTGGTGTTACTGACAAGAGAGAATAACTTGCACGATCTTCTTTGGAAGGATCGAAAACCCAATTTCCAACAAGTAAGTTACAAATATATTCTGGTTTCATGTCTTGCATATCACTCATATCTAAGGCATTGTTCAGCTGTGACTGGCAGCAGGAAAAGCTTGGGAAACAATCGATTAAATTGATGCCAGAACAGCCGCATGTTCCAACCCTGCTTGGCTCAAAGAATGCTCGTTGCAACTTCCACCTGGAAAATGAAACAACCGTTAACACTATGCTACAAGATTCTGAAGCACCTTTTGGAAGAACTGCTCGTGCCTTATCGAAATGACCCCATTGCGGGACAACTTATTGTTTAATTCTCGACAACTTATTGTTTAAAAATAAGAGAAAGTTTCGGATTGATAAGGATGCAGTACCTAAACAATACAAGGAGAACTTCGACATTTCAAACGTAGGCCCTTCGTCAGGAAGGACTTTCGCTCAAAAACGTCGACGTTCTCCTGGCATTTTTCAATTTTCAGGTATAGTTGTATGACTTGTATCTCTAGCTACACTAGAGTTCACTGACTGATGAAGGGTAACTATCACAAACACACTTTTTTTAGTAAACATATGATTATTTTACGTTCCAGAACACTGGAAATATTTTACAGCTCATAATCTTTTTCTTCTTATTTCCAGGCAAGGTATGTCACACTCACACAATAACGCCATTTATACGAGAGAAAATAAGTCGCGACTTAATTAAGACGCGTCTTATTTAAGTTACAAACACATTCGTATAAATGGTCAACTGATTTGTTCATGACCCATGTAAGTTGCGACTAAAATAAGAACAGACTGGGGTTTATGCTAGTCCAAAATAAATCACGTCTTAACAGAAATTGACCATTTATACGAGGGCTTTCGTGACTTAAATAAGGCGCGACATATTTTTCTCTCGTTTAAATGGCGCTATTCATTATCCGATAAAAACAAACCGGATAAGTAGAAAAAATTAGCCAAATGTATCAAATTTTTGAAGTTTAGTATTCTTAGGTTTGTAAATATATATTATAACGTTTCTCTCGTTTGCAACATACATGCATACACATGAAGAGTTTTGTATGCGGTATCTTACCTGTTAAATGTTTGCACAGAAACACGTTGTATTGCATAGATATATGGTGCAATCCACAACAAAATGGCGCTACACCACAACGCGACATTAAACGAATATTCATGATATTCAATTCCAACCATATTTGTCTTATACACTCTCCATTTAATGACGTAACTGTAGGCATAAATTAGAATTGCCCAAAATATTTTATCTCTCAAAAATGGTATCCATACCCAAAGAAAAATACCAAGGACGAGCAAACCAACACTTGTTGGCCGTGGTATCACTGATATATATTCTTCTATTAACCATGGTGTAAAAGTAAATGCAAACGAGATCAAGAAAGCGAAGAATAAAAACCTTACTTTATTGTAGCAGAATCCTTTGGGATCAAGCATGGATTTGAGAATGTAGAAGAAAGCTGTCGCAAGTAGAAGAAAGGTGAACAAAATAAAAGTGAAGTACATGCCTTCGTTTGTAAACGGAACACATTCGTTAGTCCCTGTCATATTTGAAACTTTCATCACAGTTTTATTTAAATCTGGATTCATCTCAATTTCTTTTGATGTGTTAAACGATTTGGTTTCTGAGTCAGGGCAGATAAAACCTTGTCTTAGGATTTCACCAACCAAAAAATCAACAACAAATGCAATGGGTAAACATGGAGCTGCAACATTGAGCACTGGGATCACAACAACCACAAAACATAAGAGCAATATCAAAATAACTGTATCAAATATCCCTCGAAACGGATTCGCCCAATCACATATTATTCCACAACGTTTCCTCATATTTTCGAAGAATTTTTCATGCCATTTTGCATCATCAACCCCATCATGACGAAATTTCCATTCCAAATAAGAAGCCCCACAAAACCCTCCACCGGACACACAGCTTAGATAATCAAAAGAAACAGATTTTTCAAGCAAACGTCGTAAGACGCCAGAACAAAGTGCTGCAGATCTGATGCCACCGCCTGAGAAAGCTACACCAACTTTTTTCGTATCATCAGCCATATCTGAACATGAAACAAAATAAACATATATATATATATATATATATATAACTTGTTTTGTTGTAGTGTTTTGTTGTAGCAAGCGTGAAACACAGTGTAGCGACAAATATATTTTAAGATTAAAGAATTATTTAAGCTCTATCGTATATTGGTATTGATTAATTATATTGGTATTGCTATGTATATTGGTATTGATTAATTAATTATATATATATATATATATATATATATATATATATATATATATATATATATATATATATATATATATATATATATAATTAATTCTTGTTGTCCGTAATTGAACGAAGAGTAATCACGAAAACTATTTCAAACTATGCAGTAATTATATAAATATAACTGATTAACTTCACGTAACTGGTGGTTCTAAGGGTATGTTTGAAGGCCAGAGGTTCGTCAGCTATGCTATTTTGAAAATATTACCAATTGTACAAGGGTTTTGCAGATGGAAATTTCTAGTGTGAATTTTATACATTTATTAGACCTAAGCAGCAGCAGGTACGAAAAATACAACTATAGACACTCTGTCAGGAATCGAACCTGCGGCCCTGAGATTCTGGTGCAGCGGTCAAATCAAATGAGCTACAGAGGCCAGTAAAGAAATTGAATTTAAAAGGGAATAAGTACGAGTGTAAGAAGTGTGCTTTAATCACGTTTTAACACTTGCACTTGCACTTGCACTTGCACTTGCAGCTGAGCTGAATTACGAAGGACGCAGCTCAACGTGATCGAGATTTATTAAGGGCGGTGAGTAAGGCCGCCCGACCCGCCTATATATATATGGCTGCCACCTTGTGATTATGTCCAATTACGAGACACAAGCTACGATTTAGTTTGATTTATCCCAACCCACCCCGTCAACATTACTTCCTTCAAGCCTTTCGGTAGAGCGTTGATTCATGAGATAAATATAACTATACCAGAAAATTATTCTCTCTATATTCTCGAAAAAATATTTGAAGCTTGGAACAAATTCCCTTCATAAACCTGATGTGGACTACTACAAAGGTAGGCGCAGTTGGAAGCAATATTGAAGGCGAACAATGGGGAAAATAGTGACACAAACCAGCTAAATAATTCACCAAAGATGTGAACTTTGAACTATCATTAATTTCTGGCTATAGGGATGGCCTAAACATGGAATATTTATCTTCGTATTAGATAGTAATATATGTGTAGATGATTATAACGATCGTAAAATACTGAAATTCCAAGCAATAATTTGTTTTCGATTTATGTACATGCGACAAACTAGCTATTCACTTTGGTTTTTAAATATTTTACAGTCCTGGTCCCTATATATACAATAACAATCTAAATAAAACATAACTGAAATAATATTCCGCTTCTTTTATGAAACTGACGCCGTACTGTAGTAAATCGGGGACAAATTTATTTTTATCTTTATTACTAACAATTGTGATCAAAACGAACAACGATTTGACTGAAATGATTTGTATTGTATTTTCAAAACTTTCAGGTTGTATATGTTAATGAAATAAAACAAGATAATATAATGTTGTGCGGTTCATATACTTTGCTTACCAGAAAGCCACGATTGACAGCAAAGTCAGCTCATGCAGGATAAACAATGTTCCTCTAAATCTGAAATTTGTTAAAAGGAAACTCAAAAGACCAATATGGAGGCCATTTTGTTTATAAAATCTGTTTATGGCACCTGCTATAACGTGTTTTTTTTACATTTTATTTTGTAAACAATGCTTTGTTTTAGGTTATACAATAGCAGTAACAATAGTGT